ATATTCTCAAAATAAAATGTATTGGTTATGTTTGAAACTAGAGTCTCTCAGCTTAAATGGGTTTTATTCCATAGTTTTAAGTACACGTAGATTCTTTCCCCTCTCCTAAAAGTAATTTTCTCTTAACCTTATTTGTCTTTCCAATTCCTGTTCCCATTTCTTTCTTCCTCTTTACCTTCAAGCTCCTGAAACCTCAGCTTTTTGCCTTAGATATACTGCAGTCTCATTTCTACTCTACTGTGACTGCTGTTAGAATGACCACTCTGCCAGCAGACCAAACACTTTGAAATTATAGCACTTCATTATATTGTGGTTTTAAAAAGGGATCTTTTCGCATTTGGCAAGCCCAAAAGAAAATGGATCCATGTTACTTGGCAAGGTATTGAATTATAGTTTCTATTCCTGAATAACTGTATTGACCTTCAAGAATAATTTCCTTTTTCTTTAAAGATAAAAGGCTGACATATGTTAAATAATAAGTTTTAACCTGGGTTATAAGTTTCTAATAAACATATATTTAAATAAGAACATGTATAGGTGGTAGAAATCATTACACTTGTCTTTTCTGTTGCTTTTAATTATGCAGATAAGTGGAGTTCAAATATATTCTTTAACACTTATTCAGAATGTGTTAGTAAGCAATAGTGTCTTATATAATTCTACATTGGTGTTTTTATCATGCCTCTTTCCCCATGAATGGTTGCTCTTGCCTATTAGCTTTGTAACAAGTTAGGAAATTTCTTTTTTTATAGCTTTCAGTCGCTCATCTCGCCAGGAATATGGGGCAGCAGATCCAGGATTTACAATGAGAAGGAAGATGGAACATTTACGGGAAGAACGAGAGCAAATACGACAACTGCGTAATGTAAGTCAGATCGACCTTTCGGATCTGCAATGTACAAATGGGTTTAACTTGGAAAATTAACAAAGCATATGTATTTTATTTTCAGTACTCCTTAAAATTTTTGGATTATAATGGTTAGTAGTGTAAATGTATATTTAAGGTAGAATATGTATAATCTATACCCTTTTTTTTTTTAATAGAATCTTGAATCCAGGTTAAAAGTAATTTTGCCTGATGACATTGGAGCCGCACTGATGGATGGGGTTGTTCTTTGCCATTTAGCCAATCATATAAGGCCACGCTCTGTAGCTAGTATTCATGTACCATCACCAGCAGTGGTAAGTTTTGTTTATAGTTTGTTCTCAAAAAGGAGATCTAGCTTCTTAAAACTGTCCTTAAATAACATACTTCAGGGCTCGGCGCCTATAGCTCAACCGGCTAAGGCGCCAGCCACGTACACCTAAGGTGGCGGGTTTGAATCCCCAGCCTGGACCCGCCAAACAACAATGATGGCTGCAACCAAAAAAAAAAAAAAGCCAGGCGTTGTGGCGGGCGTCTGTGGTCCCAGCTACTTGGGAGGCGGAGGCAGGAGACTCGCTTGAGCCCAGGAGTTGGAGGTTGCTGTGAGCTGTAATGCCACGGCACTCTACCCAGGGGGACAGCTTGAGGCTCTGTCTCAAAAAAAAAAAATAAATAAATAACATACGTCAGTAAACTAGATTTTCAGCGTAAGTTCTATATAAAAATGCCTAAAAATACATCCTTTCTCCCTTTTATTTACAGCCCAAACTGAGCATGGCAAAATGTCGAAGAAATGTAGAAAATTTTCTTGATGCTTGTAAAAAGCTGGGTGTCTCACAGGTAATTGTTATTTAACTAACAAAATGAACACTTTTTAAAGAAACTACCAAAATATTTTCCAGAGTACCGTTTTACCCTATGACCGGCCATACGTGAGGGTTCTAATTTCTCCACAGCCTCACCAACAGTGGTTATTGCCTACCTTTTTGATTTTAGCCATGTTAGCAGTTATGAAGTGGTAGCTCATTGTGGTTTGATTTGCATTTCCCTAATGGTTACTGATGTGGAACATGTTTTATATGCTTATTGATTTGTACATATTCTTCAGAGAAATGTCTATTCAAATCCTGTGTCCATCTGTTAATTGAAGTATTCATCTTTTTATTTTTGAGTTGTAGGTACTCTATGTGTATTCTGGGTACAAGTTGCTTATAAGATACATGATTTAGAAAAATATTTTCTCCCATTCTAAAGTTGTCTTTTCACTTTCTTGATGGGATCATTTGCAGCATGAAAGTTTTAAATATGATGGAGTCCTGTTTCTCTCTTTGTCTCTTATGTTACGTATGTTTTTGATGTAATATTTGAGAAAACATTGCCTAATTCAAGGTTACAAAGATTTACACCTATATTTTATCTAAAAATTTTATGCTTTTAGGGATTACATTTATGTCTATGGTCCGTTTGAGATTACTTTTGTTCATGGTGTGAGGCAGAGGTCCAAATTCATACTTTTGCATGTGACTATCCAGTTTTCCCAGCACTATTTGTTGATGAGACTTTTTTTTTCCCATTGAATTATCTTGGCACCCTTGTCAACAATCAGTTGACCTTGGGGTCAATTTCTGTACTCTCAATTTCTTTCCCACTGAATTTCTTATTTCAGTATCACACAGTCTTGCTACTGTAGCTTTGTGACATATTTTGATCAGGAGGTGTGAGTCTTCCCTAACTTTGTTGTATTTCAAGGTTGTTTGGCTGTACTGTATCCATTGTATTTCCATGTCAATTTTAGGATTGATTAGCTGGTCAATTTCTTTAAAAAAGCTAGTAGGAATTTGTTAGGAATTGTGTTGAATCTGCAGAATAGTTCAGGGAATATTGTTAATTGTCACAATAGTTAGTCTTCTGATTCGTGAACATGAGATGTCTTTTCATTTATCTACAACATCTTTGTAAGGTTATTTCTACAATGTAAGTTTATTTTTTGTATGTAGCTTTCAAGATACAAGACTTTCATTTTTTTGTTAAATTAAATCTTTAATTTATTTTATATTGTTGTAAATATAATTATTTTCCTAATTTTACTTTCAGATATTTTATTGCTATTGTATAGAAATGGAAGTGATTTTTTTTTCTGAGACAGAATTTTACTTTGTTGCCCTCAATAGAGTGGCATAGCATCATAGCTCACAGCAATCTCAAACTCTTGATTCTCCTGTCTCAGCCTCCCAATTAGCTATTACTACAGGCACCTACCACAATGGCTGGCTATTTTTTTTAAGAGACAGGGTCTCCCTCCTGCTCAGGCTGGTCTCAAATACCTGAGTTCAAGCAATCTGCCCACTTCCACCTCCTGGAGTGCTGGGATTACAGGCATGAGCCACTGTGCCAGGCCCGGAAGTGATTTTCTTTTGTGGATCTTATATTCTTATTTTTAAATTACGATAGGGTTTTTTTTTAATATGTTTGCATGCCTTAGGATTTTCTTTATATAAAATCATGTCATCTGCAAACAGAGATAGTTTTATTTTCTTTTCAGTGTGGATGTTTTTCATTTCTTTTTCTTGCCTAATTGTGCTGGTTAGAACACTTAGTATAGCTGAGATGGTTTGGGGTGTTACAACCATAGATTAGAACCCCTGTTAAATAAAGCTGGTGCATAGTGAACATCTTGTCTTGCTCTTGATCTTAAGGAAAACATTTAGTCTTTTTATCACTTAGGGTGAGGTTTTTTAGATGCCCTTTTATGAATTTGAGGAATTCCCCCAAATTCACTTTCTTTCTCATGTTGGCCATCCAGTCTTTCTCATATTTGATTAAAAGCACATCTTTCCTCAATTCCTCAATTCATTTGCCTTTGAATCTATTTCAAAAACCATTTGTCTGGCTAGGCATAGTGGGTCAGTCCTGTAATCTTAGCACTCTGGGAGGCTGAGGCAGGTGGATTGCCTGAGCTCACAGGTTTGAGACTAACCTTAGCCAGAGGGAGACCCTGTCTCTAGAAATAGCTGGGTTTTGTGGTGAATGCCTGTAGTCTCAGCTACTTGGGAAGCTGTGACAAGAGAATCACTTGAGCCCAGGAGTTTAAGGTTGCTGTGAGCTATGATGCCATGACAGTCTACCAAGGATTACAAAGTGAGACTCTGTTTCAAAAAAAAAAAAAAAA